TCAGCCCCAAAAAAAGTCTTATTATCAAATTTCCAAGAGACAGATGTTCTTCACCCAAGCAAAAACAACATTTTGGCCTGAGCTATTGCATTAACAAGAGCCTGCCAAAGCAAACAAATGGTCTTAGCTATGACCAAAGGTCTTTTCCGCATTTATGTTTCAAACATGAAGGAACAAGATGAAAAGTAAGGCTATCTACAACAAGCTGAAATGACCTGTTTATCTTCCCATTTGAGAACACTTTGCATCACGTAAGGGGGGGATACTTTAGCTGGCCTTAAAGCCCTTCTCATCCTCCATCCATCCACAACTTTACAGCTTCCAAACAAGCTGTTTGAATAGCTGGAAAGTGAACTTATTGGGCTCATTAGCCCTTACAATTTTAAAACCAAGCTTTCAAACTGCTTGGGCAACAAACTATATTTGCTAAGGAGTTGAAACAGAGGGTTTCAAAACCCAGCTCTTGTAATAAGCTATGGTATGCTACAAGCCCAGGGTGCTAGTGATCTTCAGAAGAAGGGATGGGAAGTCTGGAACAGAGACTCTTATACTACCAATAGTTTGGCTGAGCTCAGAACACTTGAGCTACATAACCTTCCAGATACAAAGGAGTGAGAGATGAATGGTGCAAATGGGAGTGAACAAAAGCTTCTTTATGAGAGGCTATGTTAACTGAGGCATGCCTGTAAAAAAAAATTAAACTCTAAAAACTACTCCATGTGAATTAAGGTAAACATCAAATAAAAACCATTCTCTCAAGCACAGTGATGGGATTCACTTTTATCTATCTATCTATCTATCTATCTATCTATCTATCTATTTAAAAAGGGCATCCAAAATCACAAGAGATAAATTACAAAATCAGAAGAGATAAAAATTCAGTTCACTTATATTTGTTTTTCAAAAATTGAGCTATCTACTATTAAATGTATGCTTTATAATTTAGCAAAGAAAGTAATTGGACAACTCCAGAGTAAACTAAAAGAGACTAAAATACTGAACCAAGAGCTCAGCCCTTCCACCATCTCTGCAATGGATCACCAACAAACTGGTCATACACTGAACTTGGCATGAGAAACAGCATGACAGCGGTAGTGATTAAATCATCCTAGGATGGTCACAAGCTACATTTCAGGAACAACCACGAAAGGATGTGCCTTCCAGCATGTTTAGGATCAAGAGATGGGAATAATAACTTACTAAATATAAAGCAATGTTGCCAACTGATGAGTTCTGGATATTATTGCATTGATGTTTCACTTTTGTTATTTTAATTACTGTGATTTTAATCTGTACTAGTTTAATACTGTTTTAAGGGGGGGAGGGTTTGGAGTTTGATTATATTGACTGTATTGGAATTTTAATATGCTGTTAGCCCGCCCTGATTGTTCTCAGAGGGGCGGGGTATTAATAAATTATTATTATTATTATTATTCAATCACTTCAAACTGAAGGCCTTTGCAGACTGCCAGAAATAGTGCACATTAAATTGAGGCACTGCCCTGGCTCAGTGCTAGGGAATCATGGGAACTGTAATTTACTGTGGCACCAGAGCTCTTTGACAGAGAAGGCTCAATGTCCCAGAAAAAAATACAATTCCCATGACTCCCTAGCACTGAGCCAGGGCAGTGCCTCAATTTAATGTGCACTATTTCTGCCACTCTACAAAGGCCCTGAGATTATCAAAAAAGTGCCACTCCTGTGTAATTTATTTGGAACTAGTAAAGGCAACCATACCTCCCAACTTAAAAAAATTAAACAAATTTTTATTTTACAGTCTAGGACCTTGTAGCTCCATTTGTACTTTAAACAAATTAAGGGAATTCAGCTAGTAACTATTGTCCAACCAAACTGTACCTTTACCATGCCAGACATGGTAATTTTATACCAAACAAAACTGTATAATTATATCATATCATGTTTATACAGATTGAGTCTCCTATCTGGAATTTCCAAATTTGAACTACTCCAAAAACCAAAACTTTTTTCATGGGTGACAGTGACACCTTTGTTTTCTGATTTTTGTCTTTTATATCCTGCCTTTCCCAAAAAAAAATGTTCAAGACACAATTTCAAAAATTCCAAGTGCCCCATAAATTTAAAAAAGGTGGGAGCCCCTGATATAAAATCATGTTACCTCCAAGGAACCCAATATTACCCATGCTTTCAGCATGACTTGTTTTATTTTTAAAATTAAATTTGTAAGGGATTAAAACTATTTTCTCACATGTGCTTGACAAAAGTCAGATCATAAAACTTCACTTTTGAAATTTTTTGGATAACATTCAGCATCATCATGCATTTAATGTAATGGGTGGTTCTGGTCCAAATTCCTTTATTTAAAAGAGCATTTTTACCACAAGCTCTGGCAGCATCCTGTTGAAGATTTAGGATGCTCACAATAGCCTGAAAGCTTGCTGTTTCTTGACAGTCAACCCATCTTTTCATCTTTGCATAGTTCCTTAGTGGGCGCAGCAAAGAGGGGGAGAACATGTTTGCTTACTCATTACTCGGTTATTGTTACTCCTTTTTTTTTTTTTTTTTTTTTTTTTTTTTTTTTTTTTTTTTTTTTTTTGACCACCTTGTTAAGTAGTGTTTGGATATGAATCAGCTCTTGGACCACTGAACCTCTTTGGAGACTATTCCACCAAAAGCCAAAGCTGCCAGAGGCTTCCACTGCATGGGACCCTGGCCAAGAGAGACATTACCAGAAGGCTACATTGACATCAGCCTTCGCTCTGTCCTTGGAAAAAACAAGCATTATTTGTATCTGGAACATAGCCCCTTGCCACAGAGCAAAATTTATCCTTTTTCCATTCCTTCCCTCTCAAACATTCCAGCAGCCATGCTCTCACTTTCCTTATCCTCAGGCCTTGGGAATACTCAGAATCAGAGACACAGATATTCAGATGACACCTCAGGGACACACAACAACTCCAAGGGTTGACAAGTCAGGTTGAAATTAAAGTGTAATGCGTGAGAGAGACAGGTTCTAGCCAAGCTTTCTTCCCAACGTACAAGTGTTATATGGTTTTCATTTAGGCAACCATTCAAATAATGCAATTATTAATCACCGCCATTCCTCCCACTCCAAATGGTTTGCCAAAACTGGGCAATGCAAGACATTCCACAAGAGGAGTCAACTAAGGATCCCCCATGGAAACAGAGCTATCATTTCTCTTGACATTCTTGTCTAGTTTTGCTTTGAAGAATTGGGCCATGTTTATAAAGAAACTTTATATACTGTAGTCTAATATACAGTCGACTCTCTGTATTCATGGGTTCAAGCATCCATGGCTTAAAAATATTCAAAAATAATACAAATTCGAAAAGCAAACCTTATTTTTGCCATTTTCTATAAGAGACACCATTTCACTATGCCATTGTATTCATTGGTACTTGAGCATCCATGGATTTTGGTATCCAGAGGGGTTCTTGGAACCAAACCCCAGCAGATACCAAGGGCCCCCACTGTATTCTTGCCATGGGCAGGCCCTAACCTACACAATTTTAACCACTTCTTTGTATGTTTGAGGCAGACTTCACAATTCACAGAAAGCTATTACAATTTCACTGCACAATACACTTGAAGTTTCACACATGCAGCCACAATTTGCGTTGCAAAGAGACATCAAGGACTTGCATACAAATCAGCCCTCGAGCAAGAGCAATGGATGTGCCTGGAGCTATTCACTAAAATTCACAGCCAAGCAGGGACTGAGTCTATCTCATAACCATAGACCTCATATCAACCTTGTATTTTGTTATTGAAGAAACTGGCCCTATCGGGAGCTAGAACCAATTCTGGAACCAATTCTCCTTTCAAATATACCAGAGAAGAGGTGGCACAACAAACTCTACCACAGCATTGGCTGTTGCCCTTTGTCCCCCAACCATTGGTGGAAATACAATGTCCAAGCACTATTTACAAATTTGTATGGTACAAATTTATTTGACCCGTTTTGTCACAGAACCATTCTCTCTGTGTTCAGAATCAGACATGACATATGCATATATTAATTATATTCAAGTGACACTCTTTAGACACTGCACTCTGTCTGTCAGAACAATCTTTCTAGCTCTGGTACGCAGAGTGTCTAAATTATTTACCAGTAAGATATCTGGAGTGTGTAAAGCCAGTGCGGTGTAGTGGTTTGAATGTATGACTAGGACTCTGGAGATTGGGGTTCCATTCCCCGCTCAACCATGGAAACCTGCTGTGTGACCTTGGGTGAGTCACACACTCTCAGCCCCAGAAAATCCAGTGACAGGGTTGCCTTGGGGTCACCATAAGTCAGAAATGATTTGAAGGCACAAAATAACAACAAAGCCTACCAGTAGCATTCAATACACAAGCCCTGGAACTTCAATGTTCACCATTATTATGGTACTTGTCCCTTCCTCCTGCTGTGCATGCTGTTGACTTCTCCTGTCTGTGCACAGAAATAAGTAATTTTTGTTTTTGAAACAACATATCATGCACCTCTGCCTTTCTATACAAGCATGCTTATGCTGGCCTTCCCATCCACAAGGAAGCTAGAGGTCCAGTGTTCAAATTCTTCCTTATTTTATTGCAGGGCTAAGCATGTAGTTCTCCAAGGCTCTGTTGTTGTTTGTAGCCTGCAACACCTCCACAGATTGCCCTTTTTCTAGCAAAACAAAAAAGATATATTGCTTCTCTAAGAAGTTTCCAAGAATGGTGACTCGTCTTTAAAGTAAGCTGCAGGGTTCCTGCACTGTTTAATATTAGAAAACATTCTTTGTTTTTTTCAAAACCAGAAGTGGACTTGTCTTTGGGGGCATTTTTTGAAGTCTGAGAGGGTGCCAAGGAGAGAAAACTGACTCCTGGACTCTCTGAAGTTGTCTTGTTTTTGTTATGTGCCTTCAGGTCATTTCCGACTTATAAACCCCTATCACGGGGTTTTCTTGGCAAGATTACTTCAGCAGAAGGGTTGCTTTGGCTCTCTGTGAGGCTGAGAGAGTCACCCAGTGGGTTTCCATGGCCAAGCAAGAATTTGAGCCTTGGCCTCTAGAGTCATAGTCCAACAGTTCAAACCACTACACCACACTGTCTATCCCATTTTATTCTAACACTTCTTGGACTGATTCTAGAAAATCTTGAACAATCTTACATTAGCACCCATATAGGCCAAGGTTACATGGAAATTTTAAAAATCACTAAAGCAACCACTACATCGTTGTAGGACATCAACCAATCTCATTTCCTTCCTCATGAGCTTGAATCCAAGACAAGACCCCAGCCTTTGGTGATATGTACGTTCCTCACATCATCACTGCTACCATGGGTCCCAAGCACAAGTCAGAGCAAGAAGCCAAGGCTCATATGACACACCAATGACTCCAACATGTTTGTATTAAATATCATAGGGATTATTTTTAGTGCAGTTCTATTCTGTTTGTTATAAAGCTTTGTGAACTGCCAAACAATATGATTTAAGTGGGTGGAGGAATAGAAATGCTGTAACAAGAAAATGACTCCTTTTTGCAGCCTTTAAAGTAGTCAAACTCAATATTATGCATGTTTACTTAGTAGTTAGTCCCACTAACTGGTTTTTACTCACAGGTAAATTTGAAGGCTTACATTTAGGATTTCTACAAACCTAAATATGCAACACAAAAAGCTCTTTTCTTTCTTGGAATACATTTGATATTCTCAACAGCTCTGTACAACAGATTGTTCCTTTTAGTGGCTTGTTTACGAACATACTGCCCTTCTTCTTACAAGAACATTGGAAGCATCTCCCCTGTTGAGTTTATTTATCCAGTTTTGGCTGTGACCTTAGCAGTTTGCTTTAAATTTTTGCCAAAGTCCAAAAGATCGAGGTTTTTGACCCAAGTAAGGAGTTTTGACCAAAGTAAGGAGACTCAAGTAAGGAGTTACTTCGAATAAGAAGCTTGGGTCTTTATCTCAAGAGGAGACCCACCCCCTCAATTATACATACACATAAGCTACATACATACATATGCAAACACATATGCTTACTTACGTATAATGTGTGTGTATTTGCCCTCCAAGATGACTCTCAATGTAAGGCGGCCCCATAAATTTCATAGGATTTGCTTAAACAAGGAATACTCAGAAGTGATTAAGCTATTTCCTCCCTTTGAAATATAGCCTACAGAACCTGGCATTCACTGAGTGTCTTCCATTCAAGTACTAACCAGCGATTACTCTTAGCTTCCAAGATCAGACAGGAACTGATGCCTTTAGGATATTTAGGCCCAAAACCTACTTATATGCATGCCATCTCTGTACTGATTTCAAGTGTTCAAACCACTCTGGTTGAAATACTTATAACCATTCTATAAGGTAGGTCATTCTTATGCTGTTAAGGAGGGAGAAGCTAAAGCCAAGAGAGCTCCTCACACCCACAAGAAACTGCATAACAGATGAATGAAGGATTTCCCTGATTCATCTGTCATTACTTTAGCCATTATGTTATACCACCAGAGTAGGTGGGAAGATTTCTAAGGCTTATCTTATTAAAATCCACCTAAATTTCTTCTGATTCCCAAATCTCCAGATCAGGGGTAGGCAACCCAAGGCCCGGGGGCCAGATGCGGCCCCCTGAGGCCTTTGGACCGGCCCCAGGCCGGTCCTGCCAGCGCCACCCCCACCGCCCTCCTGCCATGATGATATTGATTATTGTTGTTATTACTTGTTCTTGGGGTTTTCTTAGCAAAATCTCCACAGGGGTTTTGCCATGGCTTTTCTGGGGCTGAGAGAGTGTGCATGCATATATTTTTAATTTTTTAAAATTTTTATATTTATTTATTTATTTATTTATTTATGGTGCTTCGGCCCCCCAATTGTCTGAGGGACAGCAACCCGGCCCCTGGCTCAAAAAGGTTGCCTACCCCTGCTCCAGATACTTTCTTCTTCCCAAAGTTTCATCTAGTTAAGTGCTTTTACTGCATGCCTATTTCTGAGGAATTTAGTGGCAGCTTTCTGTACCAATATCTCCAATCACTTCCAAAAGCGTCATTAGACATTTCTTTCATTCTGTTCTGCCAAAGCATTTTGTTTATTTCTCAACAAAGGAACTAGCCAGCTTTTCCATCAACTATTATGAAAGACATTTGAGACCTAAAAGGGTCATGACTTCATCTTCTCTCAGAACAGGGCAAGCAGGGGAATGTTTGTTTCCGACATCACTCCTGGCTCAGAGCTAAGCTACAATTGGCGTGTTTAAAAATTGTGTTATCATGGCAAACACCAGACTTTGGTCACACAGCACACTTGTAAGAAAGTACTTGATACTCACCTCTTTTTCAGTATCTCTTGATATACACATCCACTGGTTTTCCTTCACGCTGTACGCCCAGAAGTCTGCCAGGTCCTGCGTACCATCCCAGCCTCCAAACAAATAAACGGTTTCTAATCAAAATTTTGGAAAGAGGCATAAGTTTATGAACGGAACAGCTTGAAACATAAGCACACTGTCAGAATGTTTGCTTACAACACTTTCAGAAATGGAAAACCTACCTCTTCTGAAGTATGACCATCTGTCAATGGGAAATACTGAGCAAGATTAGGGCACAAACCTTGGCAGATTCTTGTAATTAATTCTAACAGAGTTTCAGCAAGAGGTTCCTGGTGGACCATACCCCTAACCATGTCTTAATTTTATAAACATCTATATTTTTATGAGGATATCTACTTTCATGCTAGAAAAACTACTGAGAGCCCCTAATAAGCCTAAAAAGGAAGAGAGAGGTACCAATGTGATACAATAAAATAAAATGGAGATATGGCACCATGTACATTCAATCCTTTGTTCCACAGTACCTCTGTAACAACTCTATGATTCTAGCCAGGATGCATCTACACTGTAGAAATAATGCAATATAACACCACATTAAGTGCTGTAGTGCCATCCTATGGAATCCTGGGATCTGTTGTTTTAAAAGGTCTTTACCCTTCTCTGCCAAAAAAAGCTAGTGCTTCACAACACTACAAATCCCAGGATTCTGTAGGATACAGCCATGACAATGAAAGTGTTGTCAACTGCGCTATTTCTACAGTGTAGGTACACCACAAGTTGCAATTTCCAAGTCAGTCTACACTTCAAAGTCGTTTTGTTTTGTTTTCTCTGACATAAGATACTTAGAATTACATGTTCAAATCCTCTTCCATTAGAGGTTGGCAAGTGTGTCAGTTCTGCCTAGATACATCCAAAGCCTTCTAATAATTTCTCTTGGTACCATGGTTCCTAAACAGTTTGAGAAATAAAGTTATCAGATGGAAAAAGAAAAGAGTGAGTGACCAAATGGGGAGGCAGGGATAAAGGAAACCAGCCAAATTATATGGACGGAATTCTGTCTATAAGGTATCATTTATCAGGAAGAGGACTTAACAAAAACTACTGCTTTTCAGCCAAATGAGATGAACACCCCTATGCTGACAAACTGTAAAATATCAGTTATGCAGAAAAGATGGAGAAATTAGTTAGTGGTTACCTGGCCTTTAACTGCATACTTCCTTCAATTCCCTCACCTTTAAATCTGAATGTGGGTCATCTTAAGATCCAAGAAATGTTAACCATGGGAACAGCTAAGGGATGTGATGAGATCACAACATACAAAATAACAAAATTACCTTGGAGGAACAAAAAGAATTGGTGAGGGGGGATCAAGGTGACCAAATGAACCACTGTACACATGTAAGTTTCTGCCACAACTTTTTCAAAAAGTGCTCCAAGCTTTCTCCTGCCTAAAAGTTTCAATCCCTCTTCAGGTTCAATTTTTTATGTCTACTTCATAATAACAGAAAATGTAAACCACCACAAAAACAAACAAACCCATGTCTGTCACTGGCAACTTTGCTGACCACCATCACTTAACTGTGAAGAAAATAACAAGCTGAAGTAGCAGCCAGGATGGTAGCTGTCTTTCTAATGTTAGAAATGTTGTTGACATAAATAAAAATGTGCCTGCAGTGAGCATTATTATCCATGTTTGGCCATTTTCATAGGAGAGGAGACTTTGGGGAAGGTATCACTTCTATTTTGGAGGAGGAGGTCTCAGCCTAAAATGGGATATTGAAGTTGTCTATTCTTGCTTTAGGCCATTCTGGGGGTTTTTTAACCTTTATTCTGGGAGACACTAGAAATGGGAGAAGTCTCTTACTGTTGGCAACCAACAATGGTAGACAAAGAACACATAAGACTACTTGTCTCCAAAAACTGAATTTCCTCATCAACCAACAGACACAAGACAGTATCAAATATCTCCTGGGCAATCCCAGTTTATGGTGGAGGGAACCATACTCCTTATAAAAAAAGATTCACAATCCCCTGTAATGTATATTTTTCAGAAGACAAGATGATCTGGAAAACATTCACAAAATGAAATCTGAAAATTGTTGCTGTAGATCTCCCCCCCCCCAAAAAAAAACCCTAGCACAGAAAGCTTCCATCCTAGGATTATTCACTGAAATATATTAATGTACTAGTCCCCAGACATCCGGCCATGTTGCCAAATGATGCAATGATGCTTCCTTTTGAAAGAGAAAGAGATTGACCTCCTGCTTGCAATCACACCAGTGGCTGCCACTGGTGCCTCCACCAAAAGGTTACCTTGGGTTATTAACTTTAATTACCCTTCCTTTCTGAAAGCACAGGGCAGCCAATGTTCCTTGCAAAGAGTAAGCCCTTTTGTGTCCCTAAGTTCTTACAGCTCACAAAACCCACATTTGTCACAATGGCCCAATTGATAACCAAGGAGAGAACACAAGAGATTTGGCACACGTCACATACTCTACTAGGCCTCAGATAAAACATCGTGCAAAGCCTAGAGGCTGCATCAATCACAAAAGGGAATTAATCTGATGGAGGCTAGCAGAAAGAAAACCCACAAGTATCCCAAGAGAGTGGGTCGCTACCATGAACCAACCTTTTAAATGGCAAGTAAGAACATTTGCACTCTTATCATTATTCCAGCTGTATTCCCTCCACCCTACGACAGAATGGGTATGTTTGCGTGTTTTCTTCCTGTCTCCTTAGCTGATGGTCAACATTTCTTTTTCTATACTATGCTATATATCAGGGGTA